ACGCTTTACATGATGTTCAGCCGGAGACAAATGCTACGCTGATGGTCTGAATGGGTCGGGCTGGCCGTCTGCCGACAGACTACTCCCAGGCCGTCCCGCAGACAGTCGGCGCGGGAGGCGCGAGTGCCACATGTGGTCCCTGCCGCTGTGCCTATTTACGGAGGCGGGGGTGGCACAATGTACCGCACAGCGCCCCGGCAGAGGCGGAGACAGAGTGGCTGGCGGTGGCTGAGATAGAGCAACAGGCGACAGAGACGGCGTGACTGGAGGCAGCGGAGATAGAGGGACAAATCCTTGTACGGAGATAAACCATAAAAAAACTTCAGCGAATAGAAAACTACAACCCAGAGATAGCTTCTTTTGAGCATCACACCCGCATACACATGGGCACACGCTGCATTGCGTTCTTTTCATCTATAAGCACAAATGCGGGACTCTCCAACATAGCCAGCAGCACAGACCGACAAGTTTTGTTCCTCACCCTCTCCTACACAACACAACCAGGAAGGCAGCTCCCTTTCATCCAGACCGTCGTTCCCCACCTGTGGAGCAACAGCAGTCTACCAGCAGCCGCGGTCCGTCCCTCCACACTGAGATCACTAGTATCTACTCCACCACCGCGCCGCCGAGCTCCGTCCGCCACCGCGCCGCCCCTCGGACCGACTACGGCGGCACGGCACGGCACGTGCGGCCGTACCGGCGCGGCTGACGTCACCCAGACGCCGCCGCCGCCGCCGCCGCTCGCCGGCCGGGGCGGCACGGAGGCTCGATCGGCCGCGCCGACAGGCTCGGAGGCCAGCGCCGCTCTCCGCCCGACGCCTACCAAGTCCCAGCGGACGGGGCCACCGGCCGAACGGGGTGATGGGACACGACGGATAGCCTGATTGGCTGGCGTACTCGTATGAGCAATATGAACGTCATGATCGAAGGGAGTGTCGCGCTCTAATGGTAATGTTGGTCGGGGTATTGTTGGCACTTGGCGATGAGGTGGGCGTGTCGCTTGTCACCTGCCGCTGCTACATGGATACAACTCCCGAGCGATAGGCTATTGACAGAAAGAACGACGCTTACCGTATTGGTTTGTAGCGCTACAACTGGAACATGGAACAAGACGCTACAACTGATACTAACCCGGACACTAAAAATGGAGCAAAATTATGTGACTGTCCCTAACTTCATATAAAAAATTGCTTTTAAAAAATCGTCCCCCTCCCCCTTAGTTTAGTTGGTAGATGCCTGGCATGGTCAGCGGTTGCTAGGAGCAGCCATGGCCAGTGGAAGTCAGTTGAAAAGGACGGTGTTCGGCTTTGAATGGGCACACTCAATTGGCCATCAAAATTAGCCGGATACCCGAAATTGCCCGATTGGAAGGTATACTATTAGGGACCGAGCAATCAAGCTCGGCTTAGCGTGGGCTGCAGTTCTGTTAATCCGTATTTCATCCATTGAAACATAAGGGCTTGATTTGTGTTCTCTTTTTTACTTAGCGGCCTAGTATAGCAAATGGTCACACTAAAACTTTTTTTCTAAATGGCCAGCAGCCTTGCCCCACCACACAAGCAGTGTCTGCACTGCAAGCGAGATTATTAATGTTGTTTTATATTCAATGAGCCAAGACATATGGGAGACAGCATGCCACTAGTCCACCCGACCCCCACCGGACACGATTTGGTAGCCGAGGTCTGTGACGTCAGCCGGGCGTGAAGTTTTCCCTTCACCATAGGCTTCACACACAAACCGGCCGAAGTTCATGCCAGGATAGCCCGGCTTGAAAGTGCAAAAATGATTAAATTTTGCCCTCAATAGATTCATTGCTTCATTTTATAACTAAAAACGTCCGTTATTAGGACTCAATGAAGGTAAAAAGTACTCAAAATCGAAGTTCAAGAAGATGCTGTCCGAGCACAATCTGGTAACATCACGTGACCTCTTTTAAGCAGAATGTATATAATTCAAGGATGTTATTACACGATTGCTGCCTAAAACATCATAAATAATACGCTTGTAACATTTATTGCTTCTGTTTAAGTCATAACATTGCAAAACGCAAAGTTTATCATGGAAGTCACGTGACCAAAGGTATAGCAGGGGTTGGGACAAGCACTCAAAGGATTTCAAGTTTTTTAATTAAATTATATAAGTTTCATGATGAAATTGATAGAATGTATTTTTTTCCGAATGAAATACAAATTTTCGTATGTAAAATATTTTTCTTATGGGCGAAATTCTCCATATAAGAATTGTCAGTGACGTCACCAGGGCTTTACGTGGGCTTTACTCAAAACATCGGACCTACCTGTTTCTTATAGGTATCTTGAGTCCACCAAGAACAGTGTCATGCAAAGTCTAAAATCATGCATGGTAAAGGCTTTACAACTAGCTAGGCACAGCGACGTAGCCAACGTACAGTGTACTTTGTCGGCGGTGCAGGTGCTGCCTTAAGATTGCTTGGTGTAAAAGTATCATAGATACCTTTTTATAAGCTTACTTCGAGCCTTTTAAATGGAAAGATTCACAACGACAGAGCCTCCGCTAAGCACGGCTTGTTGCGTTGACACTGCCCTCTACAGGGTCTACAGGGTCCGGCAAAAGTGACCTCTACCTATGGCAATATATACTTTCCGGTTCCTAATCGTTTCTTCCTCTAGGGATAATGAAGTCGAAAAATGGATGTCAGAATTTTATATTTCGGGGAGCTGAATCTGTCAGCATGCTTCAGGTCTAAATGACACAGCATGTCATTACTGGTCAGTTGGGCCATCTGCCTGCACAGTCCAGCGTAAAAGGGATAAGCATACGGCTGCTGGCACCGTTGCTGATGGTTGCAGATGGGGTTCGCCCACCAGTTCAACAGTGACCAAACAACATTTCGACAGTGACAGAAATCGCATTGAAGAAGGCGGCCCGGAAGAGGGGCCAGTTGGTGATCAAGTTGGCCAAGCGGCTTATGCGCATGGGCTATCCCATCTCCAGGCAGGACCATGAGATGCTTTTGAAAGAGCTGAGACTCGTTACGTACAGGAGCTTCCGGCGGCTCGTTTCTTAGTCGATGCATGATCTATGACAGCTCAGCACACATTTGCATGCAAGATTGCATGCCAGCTCATCACTCTGCCAAGGCCCAGTGGTGGTGCGAATCAAAACTGCCAGACTTCTGAAGGAAGGAAGTCTTGCCAGCTACCATCCAGACCTAATCCTGATCGAGGAGCTTTGGGCTATGGACTATCGTCCAGCAGGACCAGGACGAACAGAAGCCTCTGTCTCCACCTCTGCCTTGTCTCACTCTCCTGTCTCCTGTCTCCATCTCCATATTGAATAAATATAAATGAACAAATGAATAGATAAAAGAATAGGCAAACTTGAGATAACAGGAGGGAAGGGCCAAGGGGTGTCTGAACCAGATTGCAAGGTCCCAATGATGATGACATTGAATAATAACAGAGATGAAGATGACAGGTCATGTCAACATTCACCAAACAAGGAAAAGGAGTTTCACATTGCTGCATTTTCTATTTCAGTCTTTTTACTAGCTAAAATCATACCTTTGCTGGTCCCGTAGCTCAGTCGGTAGAGCATTGGACTCTGCATGGTGGAAGCACGCATTCCCAGTTACAACAGTCTGGGTTTGAAGCGTGACGAGCGCTGCGCGACGAGCGCTTGACGTTTATGGGCCGACAGGTATGGTTGCGGTTGGTGGTAGGCTGTAGCCAGGCAGTCAGTGAGGGGACAGACCGTGCGTGGCTATGTGAGCAAATTAACCTTTGGACTCTAAATTCTGTTGAATTGCATGGTCGGGAGGCAGAGGGCAGGGTCAACACAACAGGCTTCGCCTAGCGGGGGCTCTGTCCTTGTCAATCCTACCAATCAAAAGGTTCAAACTATATTTTTAAAAAATGTGTAATACCTATTTATGATCAATTTCTTTTCAATTGTTTGTTATTAGATTTAGCTTGAATCTTGAATGGATGGATTGAATGGACAGACTATTGTAGAAATTGAATTTCAATTGTAGAAATTGAATTTCTACAATTCAACCTTAAAAAAAACACGACCACTTGGCATTCCACACAAAAATGAAAAGCCTTACCGTAACACAGCAACTGTTTGAATGACTCTGAATGACCAGGCAAGAGACTCGAGCATCAAGGTGAGTCTCTGATAATTCACAAATTAAGCCTGTGTATATTTTCAAATAATGAGAACCCTCCCACCAGGAAACATTATACAAACAATAATAATAAACAAATCAAAATGAAATAACTTCTGTGAGGCAAATATTGTGTGCGCTGGAAACGTCTACAAACAACTATCAAGGCTGTGAATAAATAAAATCATATTTGTAAATTGCGATGTTGTTTGTGTATCGAAGTATTTCGTATATTTGCTGTAATTTAATGCATGTATTTTTCACATTTTTTAAAACATAATTTAATGTGAATTACAAACAAAGAAACTACTACGATTGGCCTAGCGTTCGACATCCGGACAATCGCAGATAATTTTCCGGGAGTACCGATAATTTTTTTGTTTTTGCAGGGACCATCGATGCAATTTGTCACATTTTACATTGCTTTTGCTTCAAAAAAACCTGTTTTACCCATTGAAATGCCCATTGTGCGCGGTGTCAGCCTAAAACACCGAATGATCCCGATGATTCGGGAAAGTTGTCCCACGGTATATAGAGAGGTATCCCTGATTATCCGGATGTCGAACGCGCGCAAAAGTTTCCATTTGATAGAGCAGTAAATATAGGCCAATTATCGGGCAATTTTAAATGCTTAATTGTTACTTGGCAAATGCATGTAAAATTAACAAAATAAATGTTTTGAACTGTTTCATTATTTTCTCCATTCTTCCTTCCTGCCATAGCCGCGTTACCGTGAATTTTCTGAAAGCATTTCAGGTTTTCAATCAGTTTTATTTCGAGTTCTATTTCCTGATGAATATTTTTCACTCCTGGTCCTAGAACTTAGCCATGCTAGATGTCCGAAATCTTTTTAAAAATCCAAAATAGCATTGATTGTCTTATTTCATCACTTGGTATTGTATTTCCGGTTAGTGACTCAGCTGGCTAGGGAACGCCTTGCGCATGCGCGGTAGAGCTCTCTTATCCCAGCTTGACACATCGCTGGCCGTATGTGAGTTTCTTATGTATTTTGCATGCATGTATTGATGGTTTTCTTGCACGTGACATTTAATTTGTTTGTTGTATGCTTGCTAGAGGGGATGCCGAACCATACGTCGGCTTAAATTAGGCTAATTGATCATTATGTAGTCGGTTCACAGCGCTTCATTTGTCGCATGTGCGAACCATAAGCCACATGTTGGCTTGTTTACCACTATTGTCGCATTTTCTTTGTTGTTTTTGTGTTGAAATCATCATAGGACATTATTTTTTCTGGTATGCAGAAAAAATTATTTGCAGATATGCAGAGCTATGCAAATAATGAAAGTGAAGTACCGCTGTAAGGTGTATACTTTATATGCATGGCTAGTTTTGAATGCCTATGACAGTTTTTTAGCCCACGAGCCGCTGGGGGGGGCATAAAGTTGCCCCCCCTTTACGTTTTGTGAAATATCTCCGGAACCTGATGAGCTACGAACGTGAAACTTGGCATAGCTTCAAATGAATACCTAGGCAATGTTTGAGGAAAGTTTGGTGGTTGTAACACCTAAGATGACGTCACAGTGACGTCATAAAGTTTTGTCGTTTTCCGAGATGGACCGTTTCTGATGACGCTGAGCATGAAACTCGACTGTAAATGAACTAGACAGCACCTGCTGTCATCCTAAAACATCTTACTACACTTCCATCTAGTTTCTGACCAATTATCGGCCCTTTATATTCGGTCCCATATATGTGATGTATCGTGAGGAATATGAGAGTCGCAAATCTATAATTTCACTTATGACGTCACTGTGACGTCATTTCAAATGGGATCGACACCAAATTTGGACACAACCTCGGCTAGGTATTCAGGAAGATGTGTGCAAAGTTTCGCTTCTCTATCTCTTCGCGTTGCGACGATATCGTCGCAGAAGTAAAGGGGGGCAACTTTATGCCCCCCCCCCAGCGGCCGGCGGGTGGCGCGGAGGCCCAGCGGCCGCCGGGTTAAGGCTTTTGGCCATGGTGAAGTGTGAAGAGGTTATTGCCAGTCTTACTGTAGGTAGTACCTATTGATAATCTGCGTGACCTTGCAAAATGAAATGCATTTATTTTAGGATTTTAAAATGCTGAACTGTGTTTTACTAAAAATAAAATGGGTTTAAAATTGATGCAAGTAGGTAATGAAATTGGGTAAATGTGTAGATGAGGTATGGTGAAAATAGAAAACATAGTGTAACCTTTACTTGACCTAACCTTGCCCACTGACCTACTAGGTACCTTAGGTATTAGTAGAGCAGACGTCAAACGAAGGTTTTCCAACTGAGGAGAGGGGCTATCCCGGGGGTGCTTCTTTCTAACAAAACCTAAACAAAACTAACTGACCTACAAACCTACAGTGCCTCCTTGGTTGGAAAGCCTTGTGATGTCTGCTCTGCTAATACAAACCTAAAACCTACAAGCCTACAGCGCCTCTCCTCAGTTTGAAAACCTCTGCGCTATGTCTGCTCTGATAATGCCCAACCTTGAACCTACCGACGTACAATCTACAAGCCTACCAACCTAAAACCTAAAATCCACGAACATTCAACCTACAACCCAGGTGTTGTCCATCTGAACTGCACAGTCACGTGACCCATTTGACCTTCGGATCCAATTCTGGTAGTCAATTCTGGCGCTTTTGTTACCATAGCGAAAAATATAACCCCGTGTTCTAAGTTTTGCTGACGACTAAGATTCTGCGTAATCTGGCCAATGACGTTCGAGAACCGCGGCCAAGCCCCGCTGATCTTGAACGTGATTGGTCGGACGGCGTTTAGAATCTTCGTCGTCCGGGAGACTGCGAACACGGGGTAAGCCAAGGGGTAAACAATCTGTGCGTGGAATGGGGAGTGGTGAATGTGTAAGGGTGATGATGGGCTGATTCGTCGATTTTTATTTATACTTTTATCCTTATTATACATTCTGATCATTTTGTTTATGTTCAGGAGTTTTCTCTGTTGATTTAACATAAAAAACTTTGTGTTTTACTGTTAATGCCAAGTGCCATGTTGATATTGAAATTGGGTTACAATTCCATACCTATTCACCTGTTTTTCTATGGCCTGTTGTGCATCATATTATTGGTAATGTGAATATAGGTACTCCATACACTGCTATTTTTGGGTATATATTAATGTCTGACCTGATTTTACTTCACGTCTTCACTTCACCTTATATTTTCTTGCAGCAACAGTTATCACACCATTATTGTGCAAAAATAAGGGTGGTGTTTCGCGACACTTGCCAGCCACTTTTGATTTCCATAGAGACATCAACAAGCCTATACCTCCAACACTACCAGAGGTTGTCGCTAGCTCACAGATTGCGCTGGCAGCGCCAGCGCGCCCGTGAAACACAGCCAGGGGTTTCCTCTGTAACGTCATTGTTGTCTAGGTACTTGGGCCTTCATCAATTGTTAACAGCTACAAAAATTGGAATTAAAAATGTCCAGGTATTATGAGCATCAGCCAAACAGGGAAGTGAATTTGGCTACAGCCCATCTTGCAACGCCTCAATGAAATTTAACGAGAAACTTAAATTGAGGGAGCAGCTACATAACTGAGGTAAAGCCCATCAATCCTTGTGGATTTACCTACATAACTGAGGTAAATCCACAAGGCACTTTGAGTTCAAACTATGAAGTGACTCCAAGCGAAATATAACAGAAATTGGGACTTTGTGGAGCTTAGAAATAATCTGCTTAGTGCTGGATGAATGTTTTCACTTAAAATAAACACCACCATATTTGAGTCATGAAAAAGTGTTTGGTAAGCATAAGCTTGTAGCATAAAAGATGTTTGTGAAATGTCACTAGATTTTAAAGTGTTAGTCTCTGCACATTGATTCTCTGATTGTTTGAATGATGAAGTCTCTGCACAGTCTCTGATTGACTGAATGAGCTCTGCAGTCACAATAATGAAGTTCATGGGAAGATATGATTTGTAATAAAAGAATGTAATATTTTGAGTTGATTTTACCTATTCTGTGAAGATCATAGCATGTTAACAGCATTCCAAACAGGGCATGTCAAAGGTTGGATGGATCTTGCGATTTCCTTGAAGTGTGACTGTTTACCATATGTTGTTTTTTTATTCAAAGTTATTGTTAAAGTCAACCAACTTTTGCAACATTGAGGGTCATACTTTAGCTTTGGAAACAAGACATATTATGTAGTTATGCTGATCTTCTTTTCCAGTCTTTGATTATCACTTAATTTCATTCACTTTTGATGTAGTGAAATTCATGATCATTTTAATGACAAGCTACATTTGAAATGTATTGTTGCTCCCTTTTTTACCATGCATATTTTTGTGTCTTGTGAGGTCTCATATCAATATAGCAATAACAAGAGCAGTAACATGCATAGTTTGCTTGTGTTGTCATAACTTTGTACAATATTTCCAGCTTTATAATATGCAGTTACCTCACATTGGGCATCACACATATATTTTTTTCCTGCAGGAGGAAAGACACAGAGCCAACTAGTGACTCATGTTTGTGCTCCTATCACTTCACCCCTGGGGAATCAGTGCCTACACCCCTTGAGTATAATGGTCATCGAGGGGTGCTGTCCTGACATGTTCACTTTCTGTTGAGAAGGTTAGAACAAATACCATGTGTGTCATTTAGTTGCATATATAATACCTTCATGTTAAGTCTGCATTAAGTCTAAAGTCTGTAGCCACCCTTAATCCTAGGTTGTTGTGACCTTAATCTAGCCTGGGTGAATATCTTGCTGTACTTAAAGCACAGACTGCGCTACGCCCCGGCACGGCGGCCGGGGCGCCTCCCCTGGAAGAAAACGGCATCGGGGAGAGGGGACGGACGGCGAGGAGCCGGGGAAGGAGCGCGGTACCGTCACCCCACAAGCCGCCCGCAGCACCGCCGTTATTCTTGTGCCTCTTGGGCGCCGCCGACGCCCTGCGGTTGGGGAGCGCATCCCAGACGGGCGGGAGCCGGGAGGGCCGCCTGCGCCACCCGGCCGGCGAAGCAGCAGCCCGGCCAGGCGCGGCGGGCGGCTGGGTAGCGGCCGGACTGAGACGAGTCCCGAGTCGCTCCATGTCTGTCCCTTGCGAAACTAGTACCGCCGCCGCCCAGCCTTGATGGGTCACTACGAGGAAAAGGCGAGCCCGCTCCCAGTACCTGGCGTGGAGCTCCCGCGCGGGTACGCCGCCTCACCGATGGCCCCTGGTCTTCTCTCTCTCTCTCTCTCTCTCTCTCTCTCTCTCTCTCTCTCTCTCTCTCTCTCTCTCTCTCTCTCTCTCTCTCTCTCTCTCTCCCTCCGTCCCCGTCCCCGTCCCCGTCCCCGTCCCCGTCCCCGTCCCCGTCCCCGTCCCCGTCCCCCCCCTCTCTCTCTCTCTCTCTCTCTCTCTCTCTCTCTCTCTCTCTCTCTCTCTCTCTCTCCCCGACGCCAAAACCGGCTCACAGCGGCGTTCATGTCGGCCGGGGCGAAATGATTTGATGCATTATTTCATAAAGGCATTAACAGTGACAAAAGACAAAAGTTCAACAAATTCTACGCTTGAATCATCCAGTAGGTACTGGCTTCGAGAACAGTTAAAATGAAGATGCACAAGAAATCGTAATTTCCCAATGACATGACATGGCTGTCGCAATGCTTAGCCGCAATCACCTCTTTTTGTAGTTTAAATGGTAAGTAGTTTTTGAAATTATCCGATAAAAATCTAAAATTGATACCATATGAAAGACCAATCAATTCTACACATGAATCAGGGTGTATCTTTGAGAAAAACTTGAAAGTTTAGGTGTGATAAGAAAAACAAATAAAAATGAACCATTTCCCCATAGACTTTACATTGGCTCCAAAATCGCATGGATCCAGAATTTCTGGAAGTGCCCTCGCCACAACTGCACGTGCGATGCGCTCGAAAATGATCACGTGACCAAATCCAGATGAGATCACCGTATTTATAGTCACCGTGCTACAACCTATCAACTTACCAACCAGACTTCAGCTACACATGTACCTGAAATTGTCTCACTCATAAGTGATTGAAGTCTGGCTCCCTTAATGTGTTAAATGTAAGAAAAATGGTAGATTGGGTCATATGGTATGGACTTAGGGTAATTTGGCAATGCTCAGCTGATGTGAAGATTAAAACTTTTCATATGTTCATGAGTTTTAGGCCATGCCTAGCTACTCTTTTATATCTGTTTTGTAATTTGTTCTCTTGAAAGTACTTATTGCTTGACTTGACATAACAATACCTTCAACCTTAAAATTAAAAATTGTATCAATTTGTTGTCTTGAAATTCTTTGGTTGACACTTAACTTGGTATAACATTACTTACAACCCTAAGGTTAGAAGTAATAACAATTATATCCCTTGTAGGTGGTCATCTTCAGTTAAGGTTTTTGTTTGAACACTTGGAAAATACTGGTTACCCTTTTTGTTACTTTATCAATTGACATGCTAATTTCATTTATGAATGGTGTTCAGTTTGACCCGGGAATATTGATCCTAGGTACCTATCATACCTACTGAAGAAGAGGTCCAAACAATTTTTCAGGGAATAAAGCTACCTTTATATGTTTTTAAACATCCTGAATCCAAATACAATGTTGATTAGCGCAGCAAATATACAATTCCTTGAGGTGAGGTCACCTGATCTTACCTAATCTGACTAAACTCAGCCCAACCTAACCTGACCTTACCTGAGCCTACACCTACATAACACCCAATACCTACCACTGGCAGAAGCCAAGTGTGGGTTGGGTCAGATATGGTTGGGTTGGGTGACCTCCTCAATGGAGTATCATGATAGTTAGTGCAATTATGAGCATCATTTTTGGATTCAGGATATTGAAAAATGTGGAAAGCAACAAAATGTATCCCTCAATAACTGTGTGGACCTCAGCTTCTGTGATGCTGCTATGTCCAGTATTGGAGCCCTTGCAGCTAAAGCAGAATGTCAGGAATGCATGTGTACTTTGAAATTGGTGAAAGTTGCCTTTTGCACCTTGGGATGAGCTCAAAACTGAGTAAAACCCACACCATGTTGTCTCAAGCCATATATCAACCAAGAACATTGTTCATACCTACAATCTTTTGCTCCTAAAAAGGACAGGTAGTTTACAAGCAAGAATGACTCAATGGGTGGTCTGGTGTAACTTATAAACATTTTTGTTTAAAAAGTAGAATGTAATTATGAAAGCGTGGCATCACTTTTTAAGCTTAAAGGGATGTGTCCTTCCCTTTTGTTTTTTTGTGAATTTCTTAAGTTTGTAGAGGGTGCAGAAGGTAGTTAAAGCTTTGAAATCTGTCCCTGTCCCTCCCTGGTTGCTTTGAACAGTGCTAGTGTTCTGGTTAGCACTAGGCCAGGGTTGTTGGTTTAGTTTCTGGTACCAAATCTGACTTGTTTTTTTTTTTCAGTGAAGGTTTATTGAATGCTACAATGCAGTGCCAAAATTTCTTATAAAATTGTACCTGTTAGTGCAGCAAATAGCATGATAATCCACTGAAAGCAGAACTGATCACCTGACCCAAGTCCCAACCTTATATGACCATACCTTTGATGCATCAAATCTAGTAAATAATGGATAAGATGGGATGAAGCTACTTATAAGAAAATGATACTTCCCACAGATATGTGGTGAAACTAGCGATAAGCCTCTCAAAAGAAATTCAGCTTTCAGGCTGGGGCAGGTCCCTCTTACGAAGATGTTTCTGTTGTGTCGAAAAGATGCTTAGTGCTCACTTGCAACCGACAAAGTAATTGTCCTCCTTTTATTAGCGTGTATCGTTGTTTGTGACATGAACGATATTTTCTTTTCAGAATCTCCCGCCAAAATGGCCGAAATTGAGCTTGATAATGAGTTTGAGGGCCAGGGAGACTCGGGTGCGTCCACGACGTACCCCATGCAGTGCTCTGCGCTGCGCAAGAACGGCTTCGTCATGCTGAAGGGCCGCCCGTGCAAGATCGTCGAGATGTCCACCTCCAAGACGGGCAAGCACGGCCACGCCAAGGTCCACATGGTCGGACTGGACATCTTCACCGGCAAGAAGAACGAGGATATCTGTCCTTCCACCCACAACATGGACGTGCCGGTCGTCAAGCGTACTGACCTGCAGGCAAGTGACTGGCTGCTGATAAGCTCACCTATCTGAAATTGCAGATTTTAGTTTTGGGTGGCCCAGTGAAAGGCTCTGCCTAATGTAATATGGAATGCTTAAATTTTTAAGTGTGAACTGAGAGGTGCTATTTTTAAGACATTTTTCGTCAGTTAGCTGGTAAATACCTATAGTTTCAGCATGTGGCTTGACCCATAGACCAAGTAATGGGATAGATTTCAAGGGCGCCCTACAGCAATTCCTAAAAGGACAGCATTATATTGCCGTGCATACGATACTCAGGCACGAGTGGGTGGTTGGTGCTGATGGCTGGTCACCACATTGACTCTGGCCATCTTTGTAATCAATCGATAACTGTGTCGCGGTGGTTTAACAAAAGACACGAGTCTTCACTAGCTAGGTACTGGGACAAAGTGCATCTCTGATCGCAGCCAGAGCGGTGCCGCAGGTTCTTCGTCACGTGCCCCGTAGCGGTACCCGGGTGGACGGCTTGCTGTCAGTGTCCGTGCTGAGCCGATTTGCATTCTGTATGCGCCGGCCGCCGATAATGTGAATGTAGACTGGATTCAGTGGTGGGAGGCTTGCGGACTGGTCGAGGTAGCCGTACTGCTCCTCGCGCACATCCGGGGGTGGTCCAGGAACGGATTGGCTGCATTGGTGATAGATTGTGGTAGCAGGTACGGCCTGAAATACCTGGTGCTATACATGTGGACAGCATGGACGTGTCCTAAGTTGCCGGCGATAGATGTAGCCGGGAGCAAATCCATCTGAGCGGAGAAGGCTGTGCCGGTTGGTTGCTGCCTTGTTCAGCTGTAAAAATTGTTAGAGGTCAAATCGTGCTCTCAAGACTTAGGTCGGTGCCTTAACGCCGTGTCTTTGTTCCCCATTTTCGGTCTTTGGTTCTAGCCATGCGAAATGGGACGGAAAGGCAGTGTTTAGGCTCCTGTCGCGTGGTAAGATTCCTGTTGCGACTCCGATTCCGGGCTTTTGACCGGCTCAGACTCCGACTCCACTCCGGGTCAATGCACTGTCATGACCTATTGGACGTGATCCTAACCTACGCCGGTGTGGAGGAGGAAGCCATGCAATACTTTCTCAGTGGATCGGTTCGAGGGGTCCAAATTGTGCTCAGTCCCCTAGGACGGGGACCAAATTATGACATAAGGTCGAAGTCTATCTTCGACCTACCACACCAATCTGGTGCAAAATATACTTGAAATTGATTAACTCTAGCTATGCTATTTGTTTAAGTTTGTACCAACCAGTCTCATGGGCAAGCCACACTATTCTAATACACATTCCCGGAGTCGGAGTCCAGGCAGCTTGGACGGTCGACTCCTGGCTCGTTGCTACGACTCCGAAATCCTGCAGAAAGGGATGTTTAGAAAAACGAAATACAAACTGCTCATGTTTAGTTGACGGTCATGACCTTGTCATAAGTGGTCAGTGATCATCCTATATTGATTTTACCTATATTGATTGCACTTCCAGCCGCAATGAATGAACGAAATAGTTTGAAACATTTTGCTAGCATGTCTTGCAAATATCGGCCATTGTCATGAAGTTGTCATGAAGATTTTAGGAAGTGCCGCTCTTCTGGATAGTCAGGTGGCTTGTTTAACCTTAAAATCGGCATTGTTTACTTCCTAGAATGATCACTGCGTTTTAGAGTGACACTTGATGGAGTGCTCCGCTGCACCCTCGCTCCATGACCAGCTCTGCCGCCCCGAGCCGTCTGACCGTGTCCCCCTTCTCCACAGCTGATCGATATCGATGACGGCTTCTGCACTCTGATGGACGACAAGGGTGAGACACGCGGTGACCTGCGCCTGCCCGAGGGCACCCTCGGACAGCAGATCCAGAAGGACTTCGACGACGGCAAAGAGATGCTGGTCAGTATGCTGCCGGTGGCGTAAAGACCAGTTCACGTGGCAATGTCTCAGTGCTTAGAGACTGCACTGCATTGACAATTATCATCAACCCATTGGGTGGAGACTTCCACTGGCGTCCAGCTGGCGTCTGACTGAGCGGACGTCCAAGTTGGCGTCTAGCTTGGCGTATAACCGTTGGACGGAAACTTCCAAGCTAGGCGCCAAGTTAGACGCCAACTTGGACGTCTGCTCAGTTGGACGCCAGTTGGACGCCAGTGGAAGTCTCCACCTAAAGTGTATTTTCGCAAACACTGATATGTGCAGAATATGTACTAGTATGTGAGCTTTGTGTAGTTTTGCAACGTTATGGTCCATGATGATTAACCGTATCTAAATTCATTGTGGCTCATTAATCGGACATTTTTTAGTTAAGTTTTCTGGTGAGCGTACTGAGCGTGTCGGCCTGTGGAGTTTCGCTGATGACTGACAGCCCGCCTTTTGTCTGTTCACAGTGTACCGTATTGAAGGCCTGCTCCGAAGAGGTTATTATCGCCAGCAAAGTCAACACCAACGCTTAAGGTGTGCGCGGCTGGGTGGTGCCAGCGGAGCGGGGCTCTGGTCGCTCTGACATCGACTCACAGACACAGACACAGACTGACACCCGGGGAGCGAGTCACAGCCACAGACGGGCAGACGGCCGGCCGGCCAGGGACGCTGTGATGACCGGTGGCGAGCCTATGCGGGTGCGGCGGTCCATGTGCCTTGCCGGCGGTCCATGTGCCTTGCCGGCGGTCGGGAGCTGCCGCGCGGCCGCCCGCGCGCGCGGCGCCGTGGACAGCGCTTCTCTCTCCTCTCTCTCTCTCTCTCTCTCATTCCTGGCCCGCGGCCGGCCTGTTAGTTGTTGTGTGGGACGGCGCGGCTCCAGCCGGTTAGAGCAGCGCGCTGGCCACCGCCGACCGACGATTCCGACCTAGGCGACACGTCCTGTGCGCCCCTCCAGTAGGGGCCGGCCGGCTCCGGCCCGCGCGCAGACGGCCCAGGACCCAGCTCCCTGAAAAAATTATTTTTTACGCCCTGTGTACAGTTGGGTCGTTCCATTGTAGTTTTATTGGCGTGTGATTTTTATAGGGTTATTGGCGCCGCCTGGTCTGACTGAGTTTGCCACGGTCCCGGGTCCGGCGTCGCGCCCGCGCGCTCATGGATCTGATTCAAACCTGACACAAGTTCGACCCCAACACGCGATTATGACGTGGTGGCTGAAATTCTGAAATCATGTTTTGCTTTGTGCAGTTGGCAGTTAATACAGGATTCCATTTTGATGCCGGTTGTTGTTGCTGTTGGGGCTCAGGTGTCGGGGTGTTGGTGGTGACGCCACCACACAGACTGCGATCCACACTCCTCTTGCAGCGGCGAGGGGTGCAGCACTGGACTGTACTTCATACTGCTGAGATAGTACGATGCTGCTTCTAGAACTTAGAAATGTCCAGTTTTATTTTTTGGCGTACAATAACTTTCAACTTTCAGAAGCGAGACACCATTGTAGATAGGCTCGGACTATGTTTCTACCAGTCTATAAAAAAGGTAATTGTCATTTGTCTATGTTGGGCGGCGTTTCTATGTGGAAACTTTTACAAGGACACATAATGCTTATTTCTCAACGGGTGGCTACCCGTCCTGCCAACACTTGCAGAAGTCTCGATTGGACATACATAGACACGTGCTGTCCTGTGCTTAGATTAATGAAGGACTGTGGTACCCCCTAGTTTACAACGGGCATGAAACTGTTTCAACGTTTTGTCTCGGTTGTGAGCTGCATTATAGTAAAACCTGTGTGTCCCTTCTACTGCAGCTAGTTGTGAACTCGGCCTGATTCCTGACCTTGTTAAGTCTGCATTTGGTGTGAACCCTACCCAAAATCGGCCCTGCTAGCAGTATCCCACCCTTCGCCAGCTAACCAGGGGGCCATGCGTTCGCAGCTGAGCTGAAGACCAGCAGAGGACTGCGGCAGGAGGCAGAGCGGCGGAGGAGCGGAGCGGGCGGACGGACAGTGGGCCGTGCGTGCAGTGACATTCCCTGGGCGGCCGGACCGGCGTCCCCGGTGCAACTCGACACACTGTGACTGGACGGCGAATACACGACTGATTCCGACTGCGTGTGTGGCCACGGCTGCGAGTGACGGACGGCGCCGGCCGCGGCGGGCCAGTGAGACGGACGCGAGTGACGCTGACCGGGCTGAGCCGGCGCGTGAACGAGGGACGTGTCTGTGTGTGCGTGTGTCGGTCTGAGTGGGTGACGGGCGTGTGGGCGGTGGGATGGGGTCTGTCGGAGGGCGCTGGGTGTCTGGTGACGCTGTGCAGAGGGTGGATGGGAGTGGTACCGCTACCACCGACAGGTGCGGCGCTGGCCGCCAGGTGTCTGTGCTCTGTGGTGTGGCACCCCGCTCATAGGTGGCTCTGGACTGCGGTGATTGCACTAACGAACTGACACGCGCCGCGCCGTGCGGAACCGAGTTTCCTTTTTAGAAGTCTTACTAGCGTCTCGCCGGGCTGAACTTGGGATGTTCACGGGTAAATATAATGCGCCGTGTTGTTCGCTGTGTGCCGTGAAAGAGCGAGTTGGCGGTCGTGGCATTCGATATCACACCGTAATTGACACTGATGTCACTAAACTACCTGAGCAGAAATTCAACAAATCGTGCTCACTGGCAGTGACACTGCTCAATGGTGGTCAACACTCGCGAAAAGAACTATTCCACGGTCGTATGAGTCCGTCCCGAATTGCGGCTCTCGGCACTCTGCAGGCGTTGTGACGACGTAGTATTTCGGCTCTTCTGTGTTTATGCTGGTAACTGAGCGGTAGCGTGGCACCGCTCAACGAGACACCGTTATCTGGATGTTTAGTTGGTCCGCCCGCGCCGTCCTTGTCACCAAACGACCCTGGTATGTAAACTGGTGTAGTTCAAACGCCCTCGCTGCCCTTGAACGAGCATTATGCGTGGATCTCTTCTCCACTGATGGCACGCAAGATTACTCGCCCCCTGCGAGTCGATGACGCGGACGCTGTTTTACCCTCTCCCCCTTACATATTACACTGGCGTCATCGACTTTCCAAGACCAGACTGGACTGGAACTTGCCCATTCAGTCTGCTTCCTCTCTTCTCGTTCCCTCAGCGGGTGAGCTTCCTCGAATCTCAGTACCTTCACGCAGGTACGCCATTCAGGTAGAGCAGCCGGTCGGCGGTCAGAAGGGCCTGCGCCGCGGCGTGGGTCACCACCCAGGTGTCCTTGTTGCACGCGGCTCACCTGGTGGGCGGAGCTACCTGGCCGGGCCGCTACGTCACGCCGGTTCCGGGAATTGCCGTCGGCGGCCGCACATTCCGGTATGGGAAAGCGGCGGTGGCGGCGCAGACTGAGACAGAGCGAGGTAGTGGGTGGACGGGGGAGCGCCGGCGAGTCGGAACGGCGAGTGGCGAGTGGTGACCTGGGATCGTCACTGAGCTGAACGGTGACCTGGTACCTCCAGGCGCCAGCGACCCGAACGGCCGACCTTGCATCGTCACTGAGCTGAACGGTGACCTGGTACCGCCAGCGACCCGAACGGCCGACCTGGTACCGCCAGTGACCTGACCGGTGACCTGGGATCGTCATTGTCCTGACCGGACGCCGAGGTCGGCGCCTGTGACCTGACCTGACGCGGAGGTCGGCGCCTGTGACCTGACCTGACGCTGTGGTGCCGAGGTCGGCGCCAGTGACCTGACCTGTGTCCGTGAAGCTGTGAGTGCCCCGTGATGCCTATGGGCCGGCCTGTGCGTGCGGTGGTGGCGGCGGCGACGGCGGCCGCGCCGGCGCTGGCCGGTCTGCGGGCCGAGCCGCTGCGCTGTGGCACCGACCACACGTGCAGCCTGCACCAGTACTGTTCGCCCGCCACGGGCACGTGCGAGGCGTGCTACGATATCTGCCACCCGGGCACGAAAAACTACGGCCGGGACCGGTGTGAGACCAGCTGCCAAGGTAGGCTTCTGACGACTGTGATATCCTGCAGCCTGGCTGTCCATTATCTTTCAATGCTCGTGCCTCTGCTACCCTGTGTCTTAGCCCTTCCTGCTGTTATTCCATGTCTTCATTCTTATGCATTACTGTCCTCTCACTTGTCCGTTGAATCACCTGCCACCGTCTACTTGCACGACTCGCGCCCACTCCTGCCCCATGGCTGTCCCCCCGCACCTGTTTGCTACTTCCTTTGCCTTTTTGTGTCACCTGGCACTCGATTTGGTGCTGTCACGTGTTTCGATGTATGCACTGTCGTAGTGTTAGTGTGAGTGTGACCCAGAGGCCAGATGTATCCATTGGACGCGCACTTTCAGGTTTGGGGTCACCGAGTTATCGACGCATGCCAAGTCACCGATGTCTGTTGTCCCTTCCATTCTAGAAATCCGCTAATGGGTTGCCGGTGCTGCAAGCGAAGCGAACATACACACATACAATCTAGCGCACAAAGACCCCGCAGTGTGATGACAGGGAGAACTGTTAGTATGTGTTACGGCGGCATTTCGTGTAACCGTCCCATGTATGATTCACTGCCGCGGGAGTGTGATGGCGGTTCGCTCCGTCGGTGTCATAACGTCGAATGGACCGGGGGCGGCCTCTGACATGAGTTGCTGAACTACTGGCTGGGTCACTGACCCCTTTCGACCGTGATTTCGTGACGGGACTACTCACTGCAGCGAGGCCATTGAAATGCTTTACCGAGGGACGATTATCGAGTCTGGGCGCCTGATACGTCCACAAACGGTGTGCTGGCCTGTTTACAGTTTCTCATACTCTCCTGTCTCCTGGCTAACTCTTGATACGCCCGAGCTCTGCTCGGTGCTTCCGCCCCGACCTGTCCTCAATATGCCTCCCCCTCCCTCCCACCTCCATCGAACGGCTTAGACCTTTACGACAGGTGAATTTTTAACGGCCCGCTCGATACTGGATGAGTAGCGCCGAGCTGTAAGGGCACGTGCCACCCTCCCCGCACGCCACCACAGGTGCATATCGATCCTCGACCACGTGCGTTGACTGTGTCGCTGTCGACAGGCAAACACCTTCCCTTCTGGTATATAGGGTCTTGCTTCTGGTGAAGAGGGTGCGGACGGGCGGACGGCTCCGACCCTTGGCACCACCAGTGGTGATTCGATAAGTATACACACAGTCTCTCGGCGGTGGCGAGCTACCCTTTCTGAGCTATAACGCCAAACATAACTCGGTATTTGAACTTACGTCCTCAGATATGCACGTCCGCCGGACCGGGCCGTGCCCCGACAGTACGACTTGCACGTCCATGTAAAGGGCCGGATGTCGGACAGACGGCCGAACCAGCTGCGCAGCGCTTGAAGTGCGATGTTTGCTGCACCCAAGGCCCTAAAACTACAGCGGCAAAGCTCAAAGCTGTACCGGTCAAGGCTGCGTGTTCGAGAGACGTCGTTCAAGGTCTTCGTCCGTCGGTCTCTATGCATAAGACAGCTATGCTGATGCATATGGATGAAGATAAGAAGAAAATTGATGACACTGCACTCTGCAGGGCAGCTCACGACTTCACATTGCCGTGAATGATTAACGATCAACCTCTATCTTACCTGGTAGCTTGCACCGGCAGTGATGCTGGAGCCGCCCATCTCACTCCGAAGTCCGAACTCTGTCGCTGGTTTCCGCCGCGATGTGCTATCGGCCGCACCTCAGTCGTCGCGCGTGTCCTGTACCGGCGCCGACGGAGCCTGAGCCGGGAGGTGCCGCACCTCACGCCGCGCAGTCAAGGTCAGACAGCGGCGCACCGGGACGGAGACTGTCCCGGCTGGAGACGGCGGACACTGGACGGCCCGAACTGTCCGCACGGAGGCGAGGCGGACGGATGAACAGGGACGGTTTCGTCGGGACGGATAGGCGACGCGACTATGGACAGCTGTGCCTATAGACGGAGAACTTTGGTAGCCTACAGGCTTCTGTGGCACCACACGCTGGGCGGGCCGTAGCACTTCCATTTCCTCGGCCAGATAGGCCAGCCTGTGACCTCCCTGCGACCTTTGTTGACCCGTCCGAGTGCCACTGCACCGCCACTTCACGGCAGCCCGGCCGAGCCGTGATAAGCCGTTCCACCTTTTATACTCCTGGCCGACCATAGCGCTCAGACGATGTCGCAGACGGATCTCACTTCACCTCACGTAAGAATCTCACCTGGTTGGGTAGTGCGGCCGGTGAGTCACAGTTCCGACACGCTGAGGGGCCTCAACGGGTGCAGCCGGGCGACGCTGGTCGGGCTTCCCTTCCCACACAGCGCCATTCAATTTGACTTACACGGAATCACAGCGCGAAGGATGGTGAAAGTCGCATTACTTTTGACGCAGTCATGAGGTCAAATGAAGGCTCAGAAAGCTGACGTAATTTTATGGGCATGAGTAATTGAACGAGATCTAGATGAAGTCAGCCTTTCTGTAGAAAGGCTCAGTCTGTAGGTACTGGCTGTCGCTACTGGTCGACTTGCCGACGACCGGTACCTGCAGGCATCGGTTGTCGGCAAGTCGACGTCAGACTAGTCGAGTCATATAAACTCAATTTTACTAGCCCTACCCCTCAATTTTACTAGCCCTCTCCACCCTTTTGAATATGGGGCTAACCTTTTACAGTATTTGTGTGATCGTACTTGTGTTTACACCTAGGTAATCCACTTCTGCAGTGGGATCCTGTTTTCTGGATTTTGAGTGATGCCAGACGTCAGTAGATACTGTTTACCAGCCCAACTAGCAAAACGTCAGGGTATACCTATCAGTCAGTCCGGTGTTCATGTCACCTCGATATCGTTGGGGACCGTCCTGGAATTAATCGGTACCGTCTAGGTATTGGTCGGTACTTATCACTTTGCTGGTGATCGGTTCCGCTTTGGTATTCAGCTCAGCGCCACACACCTGTTTCTCTCGTCACTCAGGTCAGCTGAGGTCACGGTCTCTGCCCAGCTGCATCCTGGCCAGCCCAGAGGTGTGCCGCCGCTCCGTGCCGTCGGCTCGAGGTCGCTGGGGGAGAGGGAGGGGACCAACACGTCTGGGAGTGTCTCTGTTGGTATGCGCCGTCACGGACACGGGGCCTGACGAGGCGCTCTCCAGTTTGAGATGCTGACCAGGCATCCTCAATCGCAGCTAAACATGCTGTGTCGTGAGCCATTGGTACACATAAGTTCACAAACAAATGTGAACTTGTTATTCATGGGTGAGGCAGACTCTTATTTGGTCGTGACATGGGTTTTGAGATGTTCGATGGATCTTTCATAAAGCGAACACACTTCATTAAGGTGTGGAGGCGTTCACCGTCTCATTATGGTGATTGATACACTGTAAAAAATATTGACGAGCTATGTGTCAAAACAAGGGTCTCGAAACAGTCACCAGGTTGTCAATGCTTCCGGTACCTACCACTTGACTAGTTACCGCTTAGTTAGCTTACAGGCTGAGAACTATCCAGATCGTTATGATCCGGTATTGTAATGATACCCTAGGTGTACCTTTGTTTTGAAGTGCTGAATTAACTATCAAGGTTGTCTGACGTTTGTTTTCGCCTCAA